AAACCTTGTCTCAGAAAACAAAACAAAAAATAAGAAAGAAAGAAAGAAAGAAAGAAAGAAAGAAAGAAAGAAAGAAAGAAAGAAGAAAAGGCACACACCTTTGGTCTCTGTACTCGGTGTAAGACTTTAAGACAATCCTGAAGCCATTTTTGACAATTCTGAATCCTCTCAGCCTCTGCCATAGTGCTTCCCCTCCTCCCCTGGGAACCAAGGACCTAACAGCTACACTCGCACATACTCAGTTCCTGAACAATTACCCATATACCTACGCTTTGGTTTGGTCCCCTGGGTCAAAATGACCTCTTACCTCATCTGATCTGGCAACAGCTCTCCAGTCAGTTATTGGTAATAGCCCTTTCAAATAAGCCAATCAGAATAGTCAAAGAACAACCCCCCTTGCTTCTGTGGCCCCTTTAAAAGTAGACTGTACCCGCTATTCGAGGTCCCTCGGCTTCCCGAATGCTGGGGGACCCTGTCATGACAGAATTAATAAAATCCTCATGCTTTTGCATCGGCTGTAGTGTGTGAGATGGTCTCTGGGGGTGACTCCTTCCCGGTGTTTGGATGCCAGAGTCCAACATCGGGAGGCAGATCTGAGTTTGAGGCCAGCCTGGTCTACAATGTGAACTCCAGGATAGCCAGGACTACACAGTGAAATCTTGTCTTGAAAATATAAAAGGAAATAGAAAGAAAAGAAAGGAAAAATATTTACAAAATTGTGGGTTGAATGAGCAACCCACAAACACACAGAAAAATAAGCCATGGCTGGGTGGGTCATACCTTTAATCCCAGCACTCAGAGACAGGAGGCTCTCTGTGAGTTCAAGGCCAATCTGGTCTACATAAATGAGCCTCAGGCCAGCCACAGCTACCAAGAGAGAAGTAAATAAACAAACGAATACATGAAAAATTTAAGTTTAAAACATTAGTTTGAGTATACCTGTTCTAAACATTTATCTGAGACTCAATTTTCATAATTTCCCTGTGCAACTCTGGTTGTCTTGGAACTCACTTTGTAGCCCAGGCTGGCCTGGAACTCCTAAGATCCACCTGAGTGCTGGGAACATCATGCACCACCACATCTGGCTCTGAAACTCAATTTTCATTGAAATATTAAGAAAAATAATGGTAATGGGGCAATATACACAATTTACTATAAAATTGTCTTTTGCCAGGTAATTTATTGGAAAAGCCACATTCTACAGTGTTATCAGGGGACAAATGTCACTCCCATTTTGCCGTTCAATATTGACAACAATATTAACAATACATAATCAACCAGTAACAATGTGTGTATAAAAAGCCTGCCAAGGAGCTTCGTGGTCAATCTGGGTTACATAGGTAAGTGGGTCTCTTTAGTTTCAAGCTAGCCTGGTCTACATCGTGAGTTCCCGGACAGCCAGAGATACATAGAGTCTCAAACACCAGTGGGGGGGCCATAGTGAAACCCATTTGTCCTCAGACCTTCAGGCGATGAGACAATCCTAGCTTCCATGGTACAGGAAGCGTGGACCAGGGGTAACCTAGCAACTGTCTATGTGATTCTCGACATAGAATCACAAGGGCACCTCTTTTTGGATTTTCGAGACAGGGTTTCTCCGTAGCTTTTTGGTTTCTGTCCTGGAACTAGTTCTTGTAGACCAGGCTGGCCTCGAACTCACAGAGATCCGCCTGCCTCTGCCTCCCGAGAGGGCACCTCTTTCGAGTGGGTTTTCACGTGCCGCATCAGCGTCCCCTTCTGTCGAAAGGCCGCGTTGCATTCCATGCACTTGTAAGGTCTTGCGTCGCTGTGGATGTCCATATGGACCTTGAGGTTGCCCTTGTGGTTGAAGCGTTTTCCACAGCTCTCACACACATACGACATCTCCTTCGTGTGGGTCCTGATGTGATCCAGCAGGGATGACTCATGGGTAAACACCTTGTTGCAGATGCTACACCAATAAGGCTTTTCACCCGTGTGGATGCGCTGGTGAACTCGGAGGTCTGAGGACTGCAGAAATCCCTTTTCGCACAAGTGGCACCGAAAGGGTCTCTCTCCTGTGTGGGTCCTCTGGTGGATGATAAAGTGAGACTTGTAACGAAAACTCTTGTTGCATTGTTGGCACCCAAATGGAACCCGGCCAGGCCGTAGGGTAGCGACTGCTAACTGCCCATCTTCTGTATTGCCCACACAGGAGCCCCTTCCTTGAGGAGTGGGCAAGCTGTCTGCACTGGAGTTGCTAAGCCTCTGAAGACCCGTATTCACAGCTGTATCCCTGTTTGCTAGAATATGGGTGACCGGTGTGGCCGCATCCATGTTTGTGACTCCCCGGAGCATCACTGAGGCAGCTTCTGCTTGGAGAGGATCTAGTGAGAGGGATTCCACATAACACTTTAAAACCTGAGAGCCCTTGGACTGGAGAGATGACTCAGTGGTTAAGAGCACTGCTTGTTCTTCCAGGGGTCCTGAGTTCAATTCCCAGCAACCCATGGTGGCTCACAGCCATCTGTAGTGAGATCTGGTGCCCTTTTATGGCCTGCAGGCATACATGCAGACAGAATACTGATACTGTATATATAAAAATCTTTAAAAAAATATAATAAATCTTTAAAAAATTAAAACCTGAGATCCCATCTCAAAAATGTATTGCACTTATCTGCTTGATTACGGGGTGGGAGGTGCCACCCTAAGAATGCAGAGGGCAGAGGATAACTTTTGGGTTAGTTCTCTCATGTCAGCATGAAGGCCGGGGATTGAACAGAGGCAATCGGGCTTAGTGGTAAGTGTCTTTTCCCACGAAGACACATACTTACTAAAGACCACCTCGGCCATACCAGACTCGACAGAACTAAACTCTGGTGTTGGCTGGAACAGCCCATTAACATCCCAGGTCTGAGAGCTCACCTGTAACACTTTCTGGAAAGCTGGTGACAAAGAAGGTGTGGGGGGGGGGGGGAAGGGGACAACAACTTCCTCCCACTGGGATGGGAATGCTGGACAAGGGGTAGTAAATTCCCACCTCGTACTCACCAGGATCCTGCGTCGGCTGAGGATCCTGAGGTAAAGACAGGTCATTCCAGTCCTGTACCAAGTCACTCCACTGGCTCCACTCAGGTCTCAGGTAGTCTAGCTCTCTGCTCCCAGGAACCATCTCCAGAAAAACTTCCTCTTCCTGGACAGGAGACAATGGAGAACAATTATGGGATGTATCATCCAGTGGAGAGCAAGAGCATAGAAATCTGCCTCTACGGACTGGAGAGATGGCTCAGTGGGCTCTTCCAAAGGACCCGGGTTCAATTCCCAGCACCCACACGGCAACTCACAACTGTCTGAAACTCCAGTTCCAGCAGAACCCAACACCCTCACACAGACAAACATGCAAGCAAAACACCAACGCATAATAAAATAAACAAAAAAATCTAAAGAAAGAGAACAAAAGAAGGAAAAAAATCTGTTTCTACTTGATCTGGACCACTAAATTTTTCCAGGGTTGAGGGAATGTTCACACTTCTACGGTCCACCCCAGTACCCCACATAAATGATTTGTATTTGTAATGATTAATATTTGTAAGTCTGTTACTAATTAATGTCAAGCTGCCACACCTCCAAACCTCATGTTGGTTGCTATTTTAATTTTCTTCCCTGCCTTTGACTCTACATGCAAAATGCCTCTCAACCCGGGTACTTTTAAGATGTGGGGATAATGAAACTAGATGAGGGATGGCTCAGAGGACCTGTGTTCAAGTCTCAGCACCCACAAGGAAGCTCACAACCATCTGTAACTCCAGTTCTTGTCGGGGGGATCTGATGCCTTTTTCCTCCCACAGGCACCAAGCACACATGTGGTGTGCAGATATATAAGCAAGCAAATTAGCCACACATGTAAACATGGGATAACCTTAAACCAGTCAGCAATTGAAGGATGATTTCTGACTGGGGAGGGGTCTCCTCTGGGGCATAGTGTGCACTTTGATAGTGACTGGACTCTCAGCAGCTGGGTGTGGCCTTGCACGCCTTTGATCCCAGCACTCAGAAGGCAGAGGCAGGTGAGTCTCTGAGTTCAAGACCTGCATAGTAAGTTCCAGGACAGCTGGGGCCATGTCAAGAGACCTTCATCAAAGGGGGAAAAAATTCTAGACACTCCGTGTAGGTTAACAGATCTAAATCAAGCTCAGAGGGTGTAGTAGACCACACAGGCAATTTCAGCGGCTGGAAGGTAAAGGCAGGTAGGTCACGAGCTCAAGAGCAACCTCCCCTTCGTGACTAGTGGAAGGGCAGCCTGAGTTACAGGGCATCCTGCTTCAAACAAAACAAAACCTAAAGTGTCCTGGAGCCGTTACCCCCAGGGGCCAAACCACTCCTTGGAATTTTCAAGGGCCTGGGAATCAGCATTAGATCATCAGACCGGACAGCAAGCGCCTGCCTTAACCACTGAACTATCTCTCTAGGATTCCTGTACTCTTAAGCCTTTATTTCTGTGTATGTGGGAGTCTATGCCATTTCAGTGTTTGTGCCCCAGGAAACATGATGGTAGAGTCCTCTGGGTGAAGATGGTGCTGGGACTCAAGCACTGGCCCTCAGAGGAGCAGCAAGTCTGCTTTCTCCCGTGCCCAAGCATGTGGGTCTGAACCCAACCCTCACCAAACCTCTCTCCCCAGGGATGGTGCCATGCGCTCACCTGGCTGATGCACGACTCAGTCCTTGGCAGGTTCTGTGACCCCAGACTAGCCTCGTCACCGCTGAGACTATCATCCGACAATACCACCATGTTCTCACCCCAGAGATCTGCCTTGATTTTGGCCATTTCCAAACCGGAACCATGTAGAAAGGACATCTGTCCTTGGGAGATGACAGACTGTGGGGGATGGGGAACAGGTGAGAGACCCCAGGTAAGATTCTAGAGGTGGCTCTCAGAACTCCATTTCTTTCTTGACTTAGCATTCCAGCTGGAATTACCATATTTCCTCGGTGCATACAAGCAGTTCTATCTGAATCCTTGTCAGTCTGCACGCTAGCCCATGCCTCACACGGAGAACATCCTCTCATCCACAGAAACATGGTGTTATGTGGATGAGCTGGTCCCCAAGCAGAGAGAGACAGCGAGAGACAAAGTGACGGACAGGGGAGAGAGGGAGGCTTTTTTTCTACATCTAAACTACCTTGCCTGCAGTTCTAGAACTCAGGAAACTGAAGTGAAGATGATGCCAAGGTTCAGGGCAGCCTGGGCTACAGTGTGAAACCCCGCCCCTAAACAAACAAAAACCATGCTTCCCCATCCCTACCCATACCAGCTGACTGGTTTCAGGTTTGGGCACACACTGTATTTGCAGTTTGATGTTGATGCTGGCTTCACAGGTTTCCTGATATCACAGGGTGTCACTCTGTTGGCCAAACAGCCTTGACCTCAGAGATACTGCCTCCTCAGAGCCAAGATTAAAAGCTTGCCCATCCCACCTGATCCTTATTCCACACTTTCCTGTGTGTGTGTGTGTGTGTGTGTTATTTTTTTTTAATTTGAGACAAGGTTTCTCTGTGTAGCCCTGGCTGGAACTAGCTCTTGTAGACCAGGCTGGCCTCAAACTCAGAGATCCACCTGCCTCAGCCTTGGGATTAAAGGCTTATCTGTTTTATATTCCCACCAGTTCCTCCTTTCCCTTTGCTCCCACCTCCTCCCCCACCTCTTTCCCACTCCCACGAGAGGGCAGACCTCTCATGGATGGTGACAAAACATGGCATATCAAATTGTAGGAAGACTAAGCACCTCCCCTTGTATTAAGGATAGGCAAGGCAACCCAGTATGAGGTGTAGGGTCCCAAAAGCCAGTAATAGTCAGAGACAGACCCTGTCCCCACTGTTAGGAGTCCTACAAGAAACCAAGCTACAGAACTAGCACACATACGCAGAGGGCCTAGGTCAGTCCCATGCAGCCTGCAGCCAACACAGGCAATGTTGCCTGGCGATATTCTGCTATGCTCAGAGATCAACACCTATCCCAGCTGTCAGAGGCTCTCTCCACACTCTCAACGCTAAGCTTTAAAGCAGAAGGGCAGGCAGGTCTCCATTCTGCATAACAATGTCTTAAGCGTGGGACGGACGGCCACAGCTGGTGTGTCCCACCCTAGCCTTTAACAGATCGCCCACAAGCCCACAAACTCCGGCCTTCTAGTTCCTTCTCCCAAACCACACCAGAGATTGTGTCACACACTTGCCTGACTGGTGGACGGCTCTTCAGTCTCCAGCAGGTTCTGCAACTCTGGGCGAGCCTGGCCTCTGTTGGGGGGCTCCTCGCTCTCTGATGGGTACTCTGCAGACCATCTCACGTCACCCCATCCGTTCTCCACCTCTGCAGCATTCTCAGTACCGGGATGCCGAAAGAGGTACATTTGTCCTTGGGAGTGGATTATGGACTGGGGAGGGGGAGGGGAGGGAGGGAACAGGATGAGACCCTGGGTAAGAGTCTTGGCTATCCCTCTCGCAGGACCGTTCCTGGGCTGACTTAGCAACCCAACTTGATTTATTTGCAAATCTGTCTTCCTGGACATGGATTGACCCACAGGGTCATACTCCAGCTACACAGTGAATTAGGGATCAGTCTGGGCTACATTGAACCCTGTCGCAATACACAAGGAGTGGGGTGGGGGCTGGAAAGATTAAGAGCACTGACTGCTCTTTCAGAGGACTCGGGTTTAAGACACAGAATCCACATGGTGGTGGCCCACAGCTGTCTTTCACTCCAGCTCCAAAGGGAGCACCTGATACATGTGGTGACCAGGATACATAGATTATAAAAACAAAATGAGCTGGGCGGTGGTGGTGCACGCCTTTAATCTCAGCACTTGGGAGGCAGAAGCAGGGGCATCTCTGTGAGTTCGAGGCCAGCCTGGTCGACAAGAGCTAGTTGCAGGACAGGCTCCAAAGCTACAGAGAAACCCTGTCTTGGGGGGGGGGGGGACACAAAAACAAACAAGCAAGAAAAAAAACAAATGAGTTGGGCGGTGGTGGCACACGCCTTTAATCCCAGCACTCAGGAGGCAGAGGCAGGCCTGAGTTTGAGGCCAGCCTGGTCTACAGAGCAAGTTCCAGGGCAGGCTCCAAAGCCACAGAGAAACTCTGCTCAGAAAAAAAAAAATGAAAACAAAAGCAAAACAAAGACAAAACAAAAAAACAGAAGGTGGGGCTTGCGCACTCTTGATTCGAGATTAGCCTGTTAATTTACAGTAGTTCTGACCTGTACAATTCCTTGGCTTCTAAATAAAGTTACTGTGCCACAATCACAGACAAAACAAGTCCACAAAAGTCCCCAAATATTGCCACTTAACTCTTAGGAAGCAAAACTCTCCTCTTACGGGCCACTGAGTAAGGGCACGAGCCTCAGCGGTCTTAGCTGTGTTCAGGCCACAGCAGCCCCCGTGGCTGTCCTTCCCGAGCCCACTTGCTTACCCATTGGCGCGGCTTCCCGCCGCTCCTCAGTAGTTTCTCCAGTTCTTTGCAGCTCTTCACTCCGTTCTCTATCACTATGGCCTGCAGCTCTGGCCCCACAGAGATCATAAACTTCTCCAGCACTAGCTGGTCCAGGATCTCCTCCTTGCTATGCAGGTCCGGTCTCAACCACATAAAGCATAGCTCAGACATCCGCTTCAGAACCTGGATGGGATCGGACCCCTCTGAGGGACTAAACTCTCTGAATTTTAGGTGCCAATACTTGGAGTTGTAGTCTTGCTTTTCCGCATTTGTTTCCTGGGATACTAGTGATGGCATCTCTTCTGATTGGAGGCTGTCTGGTGGTACGCTTGCAGCCATGTCTGTGATTCCACCCCATTGGTGTTTCGCCTCCATGTATATCTGTGAGAGGGTGTCGGGAACCCTGGAACTGGAATTACAGACAGTTGTGAGCTGCCACATGGATGCAGGGAGTTGAGCCCAGGTCCTCTGGAAGACCAGCCAGTGCTTTGAACCTCTGAGCCATCTTTCCAGCCCCCAAGATAATTTTTTAAATCAATTATTCTAGATGTGTATGATTAAATGTACCCATAATCCTAGGCAAAGAAAAGGTGGGAGCCCAACACTTTCCATAATTTTGAAACCACCCTAAATTACACATTAAGTATCAAGTATTAAGTAAAAGAGATGAAGGCTACAAGAGATTCACTTTGTTTTTCAAGACAGAGTTTGGCAGGGCAGTGGTGGCGGTGGTGCACGCCTTTAATCCCAGCACTTGGGAAGCAGAGGCAGGTGGATCTCTGTGAGTTAGAGGCCAGCCTGGTCTACAGAGTTCTAGGACAGCCAGAGCTGCTACACAGAAACACCCTGTCTCAAAAAATCAAAAAGCAAACAAACAAAAAACAAAAACAAAACCCAAAACAAACCAAAAAGCCATTTGTGTACTGTAGAGATAGCTCAGCAGTTAAGAGCCCTCCTTTCTCTTCTAGAGAACTCAGATTTAATTTCTAGCACCCATGTTGAGGCCTAGGAGCATAGTGACATACAACTTTAATCCCAGCTCTGGGCAGTCAGAGGCCACCAACACCTGTTTTGGGTTTTTCTTTTTTTCAAGACAGGGTTTCTCTGTGTAACAGTCTTAGCTGTCCTTCCAGAACAGGCTGGCCTCGAACTCACAGAGATCCGCCTGCCTCTGCCTCCCTGGCTCTCTTTCTTTTTCATTTTGACACAAGAGTAGGGCTATGCAACCCAGACCAAATTCATTCAGCAACTTCCCTCCTGAGAGCTGGAATTACTACAAGCAAGCGTCCCCATAGCCCACCACAACGAATTATTGTTTTCTTTATCCCCACGGCTTAGTATAATTGTGTTGATTAAGAATAACTGCCAGGCCGTGGTGGCATATGCCTTAATCCCAGCATTCTCGAGGCAGGGGCAGGCAGACCTGTGAATTCGAGGTTAGCCTGGTCCACAGAGTGAGTTCCAGGAATAGTCAGGGCTACACAAAGAAACCCTGTCTTGAAAAACCAAAACCAAACAAACAAAAAGGAATACTGTACCTGATTCCAGCCCCGAAAGCTGGGGCAGGAGGAACTAAATCCGAAACTAGACCCCATCTCAAAAGAAAAAAATAAAATAAGTAAAAATAATTTTTAAAAAACAAATTCATGCAATCGCATGACCTAGCGACGAGTGTGTCAAGGGATATAAATGGAACCGAAGTAGAACCCGCGCTTGGAGTCCAAAACAGCATCCTGGTGACTTACCAGGAAGAAAGAAATTCATCCAAGGACACAGTAGGAGTTCTTAGGTAGGTACCTGGGGGTTCTTTTTGTTTGTTAAGAATGCCTCACCTGCTGCCCCATCTACCCGGGAACTCTACACGCACGCTCCACACGCACGCTCCTGCCTCAGCCACGAGTGCGGAGTTACAGGGGCTTCGTGCCCAGCTCAACAATGAAGGAGCCTCCATTGCGTAAGCATCCGAACACACAACCTCGCTCACCCACCTTCCTCCCTGGTTCACCTACCCCTGGTGTTGTCTTCGCTTCCACAGTCTCGATTTTTGCAAGCTCTTTCCGCTATGCGCCCGGAAGCGCTAGAATCGTCGCTTATATAAGGAAGCAAGGGACTGTCTTCCGGTTGTGAATCCGCCCAGGAATTGCCTCGAGCCCCTAGTCGCCATTTAAGGCGTCATTTTCCCGAGATTTAACCTGGGACTGCCACAGGGAGGGGATTAATTTGTTAAACTACCAGGGCGCGGTTCTAACGCATTGTATCGGGGAGGGTAAGACGGGAGGTTTGTTAGGAGCCTGGCCTCCTAAGTGTGTGTAAGGCCAGTTGAGGACGTTCGTAGAGACGCCCTCTAGGGGCTGGCTGGAGGGATGGCTCGGTGGTTAAGAGCATTGCCTGCCCTTCCTAAGGTTCTGAGTTCAATTCCCAGCAACCACTTGTTGGCTCACAACCATCTGTAGTGAGGTCTGGTGCCCTGGAGATACACACAGACAAAATATTGTATACATAATAAATAAATAAATATTTTAAAATAAGAGATGCCCTCTAAAACTTAAAAAAAAATGAGTAATCAAACCATTTTATCAGCCTCGGTTCAGACGTCAGAGTGTTTGCCATAGCACACAAGCGGCCAAGGATCTGTCCCTAGCGTTGCATAAAACCCGGGTGTGGTGACACACACCTGTAATCCCAAGTAGGAGACTCAGAAGTTTAAGGTACTTTCGCGATAGCCTGAACGACAAGAGACCCTTTCTTTTCTCTTTCGCTCTCTCTCTGTCTCTGTCTCTGTCTCCCTCTCT